TCTGGCCAAGCCAGAGCAGGAGTTTCCTGCTGTAGAAACCCAGCTTTTGCACGGGGACAGATAAGACAACCCCGTGGCGTTTTCACGCCAAGAAAAGCCCGATGAGMAGCTCGAGAGAGCCCTGGGGAGGGCAGATGATGGGGGAGAGGCTGAATCACAGCTCTGAAATGCAGTGGGAGGCACGCAGGGACCCCTATCCTGTGGCCACAGCTCTCCTGCCTCCGGCCACGCTTCCTCCCGCGCCAGGTGATGCCTGGGGCCGAGGGGGGCCGGGGGAAATCGGATGCTGCGAGAAACGGCCATTGTTTGTAGCTAAAATAAAACCCGAGCACAAATAAACCCTTCCTGTTGGCACGGGCAGGGCCCTTGGACGCTCTGCCCGCCTGCACAGGGCTCCCTGCAGCTGCCACCGGCCACAAAGCCACGTTTGGAGCTGCTGGGGTGCCCGAAAAAGGTGGGAACAGCCCCCATTGACACCTCGAAATAGCTGGGGACAGCCCCAAATGACATCCTGAAAAAGGGGAGGACAGCCCCCAGTGACACCCCAGCCCCAGAGGAGCCCTGCAGGGACATCCCTGTGGTTCAAACAGAGCCAAAGGAGCTCTGTGYAGGACACAAACCGTGCTGAGCACTCCACAGGGTGACGGGAGCCACCTGCAAGTGCCACAMGGGACTGGGACACGTCCCCATGTCCTGCTGGGTGCCCCAGCACGGGCAAAAGAGATGCACCAGCCCCCTCCAGCCCCAACACTGCTGCTCTTTGATGAAACCCMCAGTCTCCTGAGCGCTTTGCCGAGCTCCCGGGGCAGTTCCTGTTCCCTTCGCCGTTCCCGAGGAGGTTTCTTTCCGATKTGGGGGGGAGGAGGCAGGCGAGGAAGTGCCTTGGCACTCCCAGAATTGTTCCTTTGTGCAGGGGACAGGAGGACAGCGCTGTCCGTGTCCTGCCCGCGGCCACTGGTGTGGCACTGCCCTGCTGAGCGGGCAGCAGCCAGCCCCGAGGGGTTCAGGGAGAAGCCAGCCATCAATGGGCACSCTGGAGCCCTGGCAGCATCCCCCAGCAGTGGAAGATCGCTGAGGGGCTGCTCGGTGCCCATGAATCATCTCTGCCCTGCACACAAGGGCGCCTTGAGCGGGGTGCACGGGGGAGCCTTGGTCTGCAGCCGACAATCCCAGCAGGAGCTGGGCGCTGGGGAGGGCTCCTGTGCCACTGGGACCCTGCTGGGACCCTGCTGGGATCCTGCTGCCACCATCCCTGCCCTGCTGGGACCCTGCTGGGACCCCGCTGCCCCCAGTCCTGACTGGCTGGGACCCCACTGCCACCATCCCTGTCCGGCTGGGACCTTGCTGGGACCTTGCTGGGACCTTGCTGGGACCCTCCCTGCCCAGCTGGGACCCTGCAGGGATCCCACTACCACTGCTCCTGCCCCACTGGGTCCCCACTGCCACCCTCCCTGCCCTGCTGGGACCCCTCTGGGACCCTCCCTGGGTAACTCCCGAGATCCTGGGTGCTGCAGCACCCCCGAGTGCTGAGGAGCACAAGGTGAGCTCCGATCTTTTCCTGTGCTGCCCAAAATCTCAGCGCCTCCCCGCTGCCCCACCAGGCGATGCCAGCTCCTGGGAACCCCGACATTGTGGCCCCACAGCAATCAATATCCTGAGCTGACAGCCTCAGAAAATCAGCCTTGGGAAATAAAGGGGAAACCTGTGAAACCTCAGGCCCTTGCCTGAAGGGGCCCCCACTGGTTCTGCCCCCCAGAGCAGAGGCTGTCCCTACAGGAGGAGCCTGCAGGGTTTGGAGGGCTCCTCTATCCCCTGCTANAGCCCCGAGGGGTTCAGGGAGAAGCCAGCCATCAATGGGCACCCTGGAGCCCTGGCAGCATCCCCCAGCAGTGGAAGATCGCTGAGGGGCTGCTCGGTGCCCATGAATCATCTCTGCCCTGCACACAAGGGCGCCTTGAGCGGGGTGCACGGGGGAGCCTTGGTCTGCAGCCGACAATCCCAGCAGGAGCTGGGCGCTGGGGAGGGCTCCTGTGCCACTGGGACCCTGCTGGGATCCCACTGCCACCATCCCTGCCCTGCTGGGATCCTGCTGGGACCCCACTGCCACCATCCCTGCCCTGCTGGGACCCTACTAGGACCCTTCCTGCCCAACTGGGACCCTGCAGGGATCCCACTGCCACTGCTCCTGCCCCAGTGTGTCCCCATTGCCACCCTCCCTGCCCTGCTGGGACCCCGCTGCCCCCAGTCCTGACTGGCTGGGACCCCACTGCCACCTTCCCTGCCCTGCTGGGACCCTGCTGCCACCATCCCTGTCTGGCTGGGACCTTGCTGGGACCCTCTCTGCCCAGCTGGGACCCTGCAGGGATCCCACTGCTACTGCTCCTGCCCCAGTGTGTCTCCATTGCCACCCTCCCTGCCCTGTTGGGACCCCTCTGGGACCCTCCCTGGGTAACTCCCGAGATCCTGGGTGCTGCAGCACCCCCGAGTGCTGAGGAGCACAAGGTGAGCTCCGATCTTTTCCTGTGCTGCCCAAAATCTCAGCGCCTCCCCGCTGCCCCACCAGGCGATGCCAGCTCCTGGGAACCCCGACATTGTGGCCCCACAGCAATCAATATCCTGAGCTGACAGCCTCAGAAAATCAGCCTTGGGAGATGAAGGAAAAGCCTGTGAAACCTCAGCCCCTTGCCTGAAGGGGCCCCCACTGGTTCTGCCCCCCAGAGCAGAGGCTGTCCCTACAGGAGGAGCCTGCAGGGTTTGGAGGGCTCCTCTATCCCCTGCTARCCCTGGGAGAGGGRCAGATGAGCCCCCAGAGGGGTTMAACAGCACAAGGGTGCCCTGGCTGTGCCTGCTGAGCCTCCCCCATCAGTGCCCCATCCTCTCCAGCCATCCCAGTGCTGACAGCAGCTCTGGGGCTCCCGTTCCCAGCACAGC